AAAAGGACTGTTAGGGAATCTAATCACTATTAATTTTTTTACATGGTACTTAATTATTTATAATTTTATGTAATTTTTGATTCTTTATTGTAATTTTTATATAATTTTCTTATTAACTAACAATCAAAATTAGCGATAGGGAGAAGATTGCTGTGATATTAAATGTTAAGAGGTGAAAATGAATTAAAAATTCGTTTAGGATCCTGCATGCACACTCTTAAGTCTTATAGTTTAATATAAGCCAAATTGCCATTCTACCACCAAAAAAAAAAAATCATTGAAACGACCAGATGTATAATTCATTACACGACAATTGGACAACTAGCGTATATTCCTAGCCAGCCTTTTTGATTTTACACGATAATTTTAATCCCAACATTGCCACATGGTACATCAAATTATTTCAAATTAAAATACAACAGAAACCTGCAAATCCCCAACTATAAATCCCCATCCAATGCCTCCTCAATCTTCATCCAAAAATCACTCACTCTCAAAGCCAATAATCTTCATAATAGTAAACATCACTTAATTATAGTGTTTGTGAAGAATATGGCTTCCAAGGGTCTCGCAGTCCCTCTTCTCCTCACTCTCAACCTTCTTTTCTTCACCATGGTCAGCTCTGCTGCTCCGTGCACGCCGACGACGCCTTCTTCTCCGTCATCGCCTTCCTCGTCCAATCGGCGTTGTCCGCTGGATGCCCTGAAGTTGGGTGTATGTGCCAATGTGTTGAATTTGGTGAATGTGAAGGTTGGATCACCACCAACACTGCCATGCTGCAGTCTCCTTAAGGGTTTGGTTGATCTTGAAGTTGCTGCCTGCCTTTGCACTGCCCTTAAGGCTAATGTTCTCGGCATCAACCTCAACATTCCAATTTCTTTGAGTCTCATTCTTAACAACTGTGGAATGAACAACTCTGGTTTCCAGTGTCCTTAGGTCAATCTTATTTTTTCTTTTTTTTTTTTTTTTTATATTCCATTGATGTAATATGTTTCAATAAGTTTGTTTTTCTTGTTTCTCTGTGTGTTTTGGTTCAAAGGCACTTGCATGCCATTCATTAAGATGGAAATTTGTCATTCATAGCTTGTGAATGGAATTGATTAATTGTCTGAGTATTATTTATTTATTTATTCTGCAAGTTTTGAGTTGTACTGTTTTTTAATTAGTATTCGTTTTACTTTCAATTTATCGTCTCCACATATTCTTCCGCATTTAACTTTGGACACATATATTTTATTGTCATTATTGTATTAACAAGTTGCTTGCTTGGCCTTCTGTTGATTAAATTAATTAGTGTAATTATGTTCATTTAAAAAGACATCAAAGATGGTGCAAATTTCTGAGGACAATGAGGGAGGAAGTGGTGACACGGGCCTCGATCCTCTGCTGCTTTTACAATTATATGACAGAAATTCAAAAGGATTTGAAATTCTTTATATACAATATTTGCGAAAAATAATTATTTTAAAATTTATAAGAAATATTGTAACAAAGCTATAATTGTGAGTTTCAACAAGGGAGAATCCATGTTTGACACGTGATACTAGTTGTCGAAATTTATAATTAAGCAAGAAATTAAGTTTTAACTTAATTCTTTTTTTTTACCATAAACTTTTAACTTAATTCTAGTTCCCTCAAAATCACTACTGAAAAAAAAATTATATACAATGCCTTATAAACAGTTTGAATATATTTTATGTTTTGTTCTTAATTAGTTTCGAAATTTATTCTTGGATTGGGAACTACATGTGTTAAAGTTGCAATCACGCAATGAAACTGAGCAGTATTATCATCGCTAATGATGATTTATGTGTTCTGTTTAAACAGAACCACCAAATGTAGTATTCCTTTTATTATTTTGGTGTCTTTTATATATCTTAGTTGAGTTTATGATGTCTTGGTTTCGTTCTCATATTTCCATGTTCATTTATGCACATTTGTTGAGTGAATGTAGCATATCAAAAGTCATTTTTGTGGTATTCTATGGGGTTTTTTTTTTTATTGGAGCTAAATGCCCCTATTTTTTTCGGTTAAAGAACAAATTTGTTCTTGTACTATAAGTTTTGAAGTGTTTGAGACTTTGAATTCATTTTTGTGTAATGTTTCCCTTCATCATTTCAAAACAATGTAGCATTGCCCTAACTTTTAACAAATGTTAGTGTTGATCGTTAGTTGACCAAAAAAATTATAAAAAACCTAAAAATTATAAAAAATGATCAAGAAAATTGCAGAAAGGATCCTATAGTAAGAAAATTCATACCATCATTTTCCTATGTAAATATAATAGTTTAGCTGAAAAGCATTTATCTATAAATCTCATATATGCCAGTTGAGTTGTTAATTTTAAAAGAAGAATTATAAATTTTGGGAGAATATTTATAAATAATAATAATAATAATAATAATAATAATAATAATAAACACAATATTTTTAGTTACTTACTAGTATTGTTGTTAGTAATAGTATCACCTAACAGTTGGCTAGAATGGATGGTTAAAATGGTATTTTGGTCTCTACATAGAAAAAAATAACGTGTCTTTTGATATTTGTTGTAATTTAAAGAACTTAACCGGTATTAATCTTCTTATAGTATCTTTTCTATAATTTCCTTGGTCCTTTCCATAATTTTTGAGGTTTTCTTGTAATTTTTTTGCCAACTAACGGTCAAAGTAACATTTATGGTAGGGACAATGTTTCACCATTTTGAAAAATTTAAAAAACAAAATATTACACCAAAGAGGAGTACAGAGGTCCCAAATATTCCAGAACTTGTAATTTAAGGGCAAAGCATATTGGGATTATGAGTTCATTCTTAAAACCTTAAATAAAAGTCATATTACCTTAATCTTGAAGGGTGGTCAAATTAAGAGTTTCAAGGATCTTTGCCCAATTGTCTTTGCAACACTACCTACAAAATTGTCTCAAAGCCTCTCTACAATCATCTTAAAGGTATTCTTAATTTTCTAATCCTTCAAAATTAGAGTGCTTTCTTGAAGGATAGATTGATTATTGATAACATTCTCTTGGCTTCAAATATTATGTATCAAATTCATCATGCATATTCAAGACTAAATTGGGTGCTATTAAAATAGACTCCTCTAAGGCCTTTGATAAAGTCTCATGGTCTTTCCCTTCTACAATCTTGATCAGAATGAATTTTCCACAAAAATGGATTAACCTAATTCATCAATGCATATCCAGTGTCAAATAGTAGCTCCTCTTCAATGGAAACCTATCAAGGACTATACGGCCTTCTAGACGGATTAGATAAGGGGATCCTTTATCTCCTTATCTCTTCATTTTAACTGCTATTGTTTTATCATGTATGATTCAGAATCAAAAAGAGAGACGTCTTTGTAAAGGAATTAAGGTTTGTCATTTTGCAAAACCAATTTCTCACCTCTTGTATGCATATGATTCTCTACTATTCTTCAAGTGTACAAGAAGAAATTTAGAATCCCTTAAAGCTACCTTGGAGGAATTTTGTAGAACTTCAAGTCAGAAAATTGACTTTGCTAAGTCTTCTTTTATTATGAGTGCTAACACTTGTCATTTTCTCAAGGAAGAATGGGCAGATTACCTAGGTTTTCCCCTAGATGACAAGATTGAAAAATATCTTAAAACTTGGGTTGATCTAGGTAAAGATAAGTTTGACTTACACTCCCAAATAAAGGAAGCTATTGACAAAATATTGACTTATTTGAAGATATCTACTCTTTCTCAAGCTTTTAGATTAATTTTGATCAACTCAGTACTTTCTGTTACAAATATTTACTTACTCACCCATGCTAAACTACCTTTTGACTATTTATAACAAGATTGATTCAAAATTGGGTATTCAAGATGGTAAAAAAAGGATGAATCTAGAAAATAAGAATCTCTCTTCTCTCATAAACAATCAAAAGGAATGGGTCTTAAGCCTATTCATTTAGTTAACAAAAGTCTTCTAACAAAACATATTTGAAGGTTAATTCAATCTCCTGATAATTCACTTGTCGGATTTTCTTTGAAGAGGAAATATTTGGATTTTAGATTACTTTTTCTTTTCAAAATTCCTCATAATACTTCTTGGATGTGGAAAGGCATTTTCAGTTGTTTAGACATCATAATCAGGCATCTTGAATGAAATATTAAAAACAAGGAGAATATCAGAGTCATTGATAAGTTTTGGGAAGATTCTCTTTCATATAACCTAACTTTTGGGCAACTTAAAGTATCTAATCTCATCATTCATTCCAACTCCTCTTGGCTCCATTTCAAAGGGAATGTTGATGCCTTGAACTTAATTTATTCGAGTCAGATTGTTAAGAAGATCTTCTTTGCCCCTATTTCTTTCTCAAGGCAACATGACAAGTTCATATGGCAAGGATGTGCCTCTAGTTTGTACAATGCTAAGGATGGATTTAAATGAATTTTAAGGGAATGGAGAAACTTTCACGACAATAATTTCCTATAGCTGCTTTTTTTGGAAGATTAAACTTCCTTCTAAAATACTGGTCTTTTTTTTTGGAAGCTTCTTTATGAAGCTTTGCCTACCAATGACATTCTCTAATGGCATTATTTGTTTTTTAACAATAAATGTTCATTTGGATGTCAAGGTGAGGAATCAATTTGCCACCTTTTTTTTCGAATGCCCTCTCCTAAGGCTATCTAATTTGGCTCTCTTTCAATCAAGATAGATTTCTTGAATTGTTTAGGTTTTTTGCAGCCTCATAAGGGTTTCGTTAGAAGACTACTTTTGGATAAAGAAATGGATTTACTTGAGAAATTCATATTTTTAGCCCATAGTATTTAAAAGATCCCAAATTCTATCATTTATAATGGTTACAAGCTTAATTTGAGCAGAGCTATATAAGAATTTCATCACTCATATCATTTCTTGAAGCATATTTCTACCTAGGATGAAAGAGATTTTCATGCATATGATATATTAATAGCCTTTGCAACCCATCAAGCAAGCATATTCTAACTAATTCCCTTAATAAGAGCTTTTATCTATTCTATGAATTAGAATGGTACTTCATCTGCATAAAAAAAGGAGTGTTTTCACAATAATTGGCATTCTTGTTCTTTATCAAAGGCAATAGGTTGTCAGGTTCTCCTAGTCAAAATGCAAGTCTTCTACCTTGAGCAACTTTGAAATTCTATGCCTTTAATCTACTCTGCCATGGGTTATATCCATCACTCTTGATCTTATAAATACTTGTTTGTATGATCTCATCTAGCTATGTTGGCCGAATTGTTTTATGAATGAACTCTCAACTAGAGGGTTTCAGCTTGGTGATAGTAAGGGACATTCATTTTCTACTCACAAACTTCAACATCATTTGTGTAGAAAGCTTAAAATCAACCCCCATTCAAGCAAACATTTATCTTCTATCTTTTTTCTTCTTTCTTTAGTTTCTTTCTTTTATATTTCTTTTTCATCTTTTTAACTGTATTTCAACTATTTGTCATTTTATATAAAAAAAAGGTAAATGTTCCCCATAACCATTCTTTAAAAAAAAAACTTTCTACACCTTTTATCATTAAAGCCATTGTAGAAAGTTGACTTTTTATACATGTTATGTTAATATAATGTATACCAGTAATGTAGACATTCTAAACAACATGTTTTTACACTTATGTAAAATGTCCTTTTATAATAGTGTTCTCTCACCATTACCCCATTTGGTGCCTTAACCTCTGGAGATGTGGTTGTTCTTCTATCCTACTTGATCCATTAGTCGGTGCAAGTAGCCGCTGATGCAGAAAATTGGTAACCCTCTCTCACTTAAGAAGTCTTGTGCCTATAATTATATTCTTATGCTAGTCTTTTTGATGTTACATGACAATTTTAATCCTAACGTGACCCATGTGATACATCTAATTATTTGAAGCTAAAATATAAAAGAAACCCACAGATCCCTAATTATATAAATCCCCTTTCAGTACCTTATCAATCTTCATCCAAAAATCACTCATCCTCAAGCCAATAATCTTTATAATAGTAATCACTAATAGTGTTTGTAAACAACGTGTCTTGTTTCAAGGGTCTCATAATCCCTTTTCTTCTTAATCTCATTAACCTTCTTTTCTTCAACATGGTCAACTCTTCTACTTCATGTACACCGCCATAATCAATACTAGCACCTTCTTCTCCATATAAAACCATAGATGCAGTGCAAAGGCAAGTAGTAGCTTC